TGATATATTGAAGGAAGGAATTGGCATATTTTGGTAAGACATGGTTGAGGCCTATGTGCTTCCGAAGCTTATTTGAGATTGGTCAATGAGCTGAAACATGATCTTGTGCGAGGATCTTGTCCGAAGTAATAGTTGACACGCTTTTCCGGAGTTGTCCGTCCAAAGTCTTCATGACGTGACTCTGATGTAATGTTGATCTTTGCGGAGTATTTTTCTAAGGATGATTCTTGGTTTTTGGCTGCTTGAGAATTTGGTGACGACATTTTCTCGAGAGGGATGATTGTTAAGACTCTAGTGAAGTTCCAACATACATAGTTGTGGATTAAGGAGGAATAAATAGTAACTTGAAATTTGAATATTCAATAGATCGGGAAGTTGAGATGATTTGTGAATATGAAAGATGATTGGTTTTAGTTTTGTTGCCGTTTTACCTGGCGATATGTACGGAAGGTTCGTAGATCGTATCTCGTACCGAGTAGGGGGGCTGTTTGTGTATGTACTCGGCAGGATACAGATCTCCGAGATATCCGAGGGGGTACGCAGATATGATAGGTTTGGGTATATGCAGACGTGTGTGCAGCAGCAGGTCCTTCTTGCCTGCTGCTCATGCTTGTCACTCGTTAATAGTTAATCAAGGAACTTGAGTCACTCCTTTGTGCAACACGCTCTCGACAAGAGCCCGCGAGCGTGATAACATAGTACACGCGCCGACACCCCAAACAACATGCTTTTTACCCATGCCCTACCTTGCGCCGGGGTCGGATCAGACGTAAACGTCAGCATCCCACATAAAGCTGTAGCGCTTCCTGGGGTTGAATATTGCGACAGTTTCCAAGCGGGCAAATGCAGCGGAATTTCAGACACACAGCATGTACAATATCTTTGTACAGGCCAGAGGAGAATAGTCTTTGCCACTTTTCAGGGCAGTGTCACTATTCGATACATCGGGTTCATCTGCATGTTGAGATTTCCACAAAAGAATTTGATGCCATATATACATCGGCCGTTCCACGATTCAGTTGCCACGTAACCCACTACTGCTGACAGATATATATATATATTTTTTCTCCCATCATTGGACTCTGTCGTCTGCCCCNAACTCACTCTGCCGGGACTCGAACCCATGACCTGGCCCTTAGCAGGCTGCGAGGTTACCCACTAGATAGACCACCGGGGCGACCGGTCGTTGACATATGTACACTTGTGTCCCGCTCGGATGCGAATCGCCTAGTGATGGGGTCGATATGATTAGCTGTCGGTCGCGCCAAATGCTTTTTTATGTATGTGCCGATGTCCCCGTTTCCTACTTGCATTAGCGGTGGAGAATATTGCACTGTACGAACCTATCGGTAACTTCACGCTGATGGTGCTTTGGTCGAACGCCAAGCATGTGGCTACAGTGGTTTCGGGGACAGACGCCCGATCACCCGAACGATCTGCCTCGCCCGATGGAACAACGTTCACCTAGGCATGAACAGACCTGTCTCTTGTATGCTTAAGAATGATACCGGCATTGCGGCAACATCCAGCACAATCAGGAAAGATGTGCATGACAAGGAAAAAAAAAAATTGTGGAGCAAGGGTTGTTGTTGTTGTTTCTCATATTAGCTCTAAAAAAGAAAGATTGGGAGCCCGTGGTCTCAAAACCCGGCATACACGACCCCACGAAGAAACAGAAAAGAATAGGGTACAAAAACCACTCGGAAGAGAAACAAAATGATAGAAAGAAAGACCAGCTACCGCACCAAACGAGAAAGAGCGTCGAGGAGACCGATCAAAATAAAATAAAAGGAGAACGGGGAACGCTTCCCACACCCGCCTACAACGCCGGAGGGTTCCGTGCCGGGTTCCCGCCGACCAGGCATCCCCCGCCCTGCACCACACCCCAGGGGGTGCAGCAAGACGGGGGGCGAAAAACAAACACAAGGGTATGTTCGTATAGTCCATGTCCTTTACTTGAAAGGGGAAGACGTTTTATCTCTTGTATTAGACACGCAAGGGGAGTAGGGAGAAGTGAAGCCCTCTTTGGAGTTCGAGGGGTCCCCGCACATGCAACCATTTCAAGGTGTACATATGCCCCATCTGCGTGCCCTCTGTTGTTGCCGGTAGATCTAGCCAGTCCGTATCCAAACACACAACCACCCTCCCCGGTTTGCACGCGAATGGCAAACTTAACGTGGGGCATGGATACCCCTGATCTACCAAAGGGACTCAATACAACAACAGGCTCGAGGGAAAACCCGGCCAACCGGATAAAAAAACTCTCGTCTAACACCCTAAATATAGAAAACCGTCGCCATCACGGAGGATTCCAACGGCCGCACTTCCAAGACAAGACCAAGGCAGGACAGATTGAACCGGTCAGGCTGATTACACACTCGAAGCAACGCTCTCGGCGTTTCAAGGCTCCAGCCGCGGGTGACGCGCCGGCACAACGCTTCCTGCGTGACGTACCATGGTCACATATGCCAAGTGCTAAAACCACCACATAAACCAAACAGAACAAGAGAACACTACATCGGTAGGTTCATCAGAGCCTTCCGGTGGTACTCTAACTCCTCTCTGCCAAGAAACTTGGTCAGCATGTCGGCGTGCTGCTCTCCAGTCAGAACATACTCTGCAGTGATCTTGCCCGACTTGAATAGCTCGCGAATGAAATGGAACCGCACGTCGATGTGCTTGCTCCTCGCTGAGCTGAACGGGTTCTCGATTAAGTAGAGAGCCCCCTTGTTGTCCTCAAGGACCTTGATCTTCGCCCCACTCGTCTCGGACGCTAAGAACGACAGAACGCCACGCAAAAAAAATGCCTCCTTCACGCCCTCCCCGGCTGCCACATACTCTGCTTCCGAGGTCGACTGAGCCGTCACTGGCTGCGTCTGGGTGGATGGACACACTACGGTACCACCTACGGTCACAGCCAGCCCGGTCGTAGAAAGCCTGTCTACTTCGTTGTCAGCGTAGCTGGCATCAACAAACATGCTTAGGTCTAGTCCTGACCCCCGTACGTAGGTGATGCCGAAGTCCTTCGTGAAGTTCAGGTAGGACATGATCCGCACAAGCGCGTTCCATATCCTCCCGCTGGGTGAGTGGTCGATCTTCTGGAGCTTGTTCAGAGGAAGGGCGATGTCTGGCCTCGTCAGCTTCGTCCACATCAGGCATCCGATCGCCTCCCTCACAGGCTTATCCACCGCGGGCTCGTCATCTCTCTTCGGCCCTAGGTCGGCATCGGTGGCAGCAGGGGTGAAAGCGGTCGTGGTCACATCAAACCGCTTCAGCATACTCTCAATGTATGCTGTCTGGGACAGCTTGGTGATGCCATTTTCTACATCCATGGCGATAGCACACCCGTCGTACCAGGTACACTCCCCCAGATCTTTCACCGGAAACTTCTTGTTGAGGGAAGCGAACAACTCCTCTCGCTCTCCCTCGTCTGCCGCCACTAAGATGTCATCAACGTAGGGCACGATGAGACCTACGACCTCTCCATCCACCACCTTCCGGAAGACACATGGGTCAACACTGCACTGCTCGTATCCATTCTCGATGAGGGCATAGGCAGCATCAAACCCCCGCTCACGGCCACTGTGCTTTAGGCCATTCAGGGCACGCTCAACCTTGACCACCTTGCCGGACATGCTACCACAGCCTTCCGGAAACCTGAGTTATATTTTTTCTTTTAGCTTAGCGTGGATGTACGCTTGCTTCACATCCCAGTGAGCGAGTTTCTTGCCCTTTTCAGTGGCTACGGCAATCACCGTCTTGATAGACGCTGCAGACGGGCACGCTGAGGATGAGTGGTGGAAGTCGATCCCGGCGATTTGAGAGAACCCCCGCGCAACCATATGGGCCTTGAAGTCGACTATCAGGCCCTTCTCATTCGTCTTCCAAGCGAACACCCACTTTGGACTTACGGCCTTCCGCCCCTCGGGCACTCTTTGACCTTGGTAAAGGTTCCAGTCTTGTCGTGGCCATCTTTTTCTTTCTTCATGGCCGCCTCCCAGAAAACCTTGTACTTGGAACATATCACATCCTTGTACGTCATCGGTACTGCTTCCACATCACTCGGCTTCTGCCCGATTGGCGAGGTTATACTTAGCTGTGGGTCTGGGAGTGGTTGCGAAGACCCGCTGGCGTCGACTTCGGCCCCGAACGCCTACTGTTCCGGGCCCAACACCTCCTGCATCTCGCGCCTGTACATCTCCTCCATACGGCGTGTCTGCTCCTCGTCCCACTGCTCCTTCCCAAGCGAGTAGCAGATGTAGTCCTCAACAATCCCCGTCCCGCCCGTTTCCAGGATGGTCGCCAGCAATGCCGCTTCCGGGTCCGGTGTTTCTCCGGGCCCCGGCATCTCCCCGGCACCTTGCATCTCCCGGGTCTGCCTCCGCGTGCGGCCACTCTCAAGCCCATGGCGCAGCGGGCCAGCGTTCGAGGCGCCCCGGAGGAGTTTCTTCCCTTCTAGCCCGCGGGGGTAGCGGTCGTCGGCTGGATCATACTTCAACTCCTCAAGGTTCTCGGAGTCGCCGGGATCACCATCGCTACCGCCGTCCCCACCTGGGTCGCCGGACTCTTCGCCGCCCGGGCCGCCGGCACCGCCGGCGTCACTGATGCTGCGGCTCGGGCTGCTGCTGCTGCTGCTGCTGCTGCTGCTGCTGCTGCTGCTGTCGGTGGAGCTGTCACTGCCTCCGCCGAAGTCGCCCCTTCCCGAAGGGGGCGACGGGGGAACGCTGCCTC